ATGGCAGGAAAATGACTCAAAATCGTGTTTCAATGGGTAAAAACCCGAGTTGGTCGGGTTTGACCCGGTTTGGGTACCCGTTTTACCCCTAAACACTAAAAATTGCATAACTTTCGCTCGAAACTCCGTTTTCGATGAGGTTTTCGCCTGTACGTTTTCTAACGAGATAATTTACAACTTCCAATAAAATATCCTAGAAAAGATCTTCCAATAAAATCAGATTTAATTATTTTTAACTTAGACGTTATACTTTCGTTAATTCCGATAGTTGACTTTTTGATCGGAATCACATAAGACTTCCTATCACCTCTAATACATTCCAAATGATTCTAAACTTAGTTTAACTTCAAATATTATAAACCTATTTCGTTAGAAATCAACGCTTAAAACCATACCGAAAATAATATATATTATATATATATATATTTTTTTAAACGCTTACAATTCTATTTTACTATAACTACCTACTTTAAACGTTTAAAACAACATAATATATAATAATATTCATTTTTAAACTAACAATCATATGAAACATGATAATTAAACAAGGTTACTAAAGTGTATGTTACAAATACCTCCTCCTTTTGAGGATTTCGTCCCCGAAATCACGACGATTTAAACAAACGGGGATATTTTTCTCTTATGTCATTCTTATTTTCCCAAGTATAATTTGGGCCTCGATGATGTTTCCACTTGACAAGCACTAACTCCACTTCTTTATTACGCAGATCAACCGTTCTCTCATTTATAATCTCTTCAGGTTCTTCTATATATCTTAACTTATTATCCAATTTCACCTGATAATGGAACTGTCTCATCATAGATGCTCAAGCATTTGCGTAGATAGCTCACATGAAACACATCATGAATACCTGCCAAATCTTCCGGCAATTCCAAGCGGTATGCTTGTTTACCAACTCTCTGGATGATTTTGAAAGGACCAACAAATCTAGGACTTAGTTTTCCTTTCTTCCCAAATCGCATAATGCCTTTCCACGGGGATACTTTTAGCATTACGAAATCACCCACCTGGAATTCTATGGGTCGTCTCCTCTTTTCTGTATAGGACTTCTGTCGATCCTGGGCGCTTTCATTCTTTCTCGTACAATTTGAATCTTGTCGGTGGTGTCTTGAATCATTTCAGGGCCTCCAAGGATCTTTTGTCCTATGTCTCGCCAACACAATGGTGTACGACATTTGCGACCATATAATGCTTCATATGGTGGCATTTTGATTGAAGCGTGGTAACTGTTATTATACGAAAATTCAACAAGAGGTAAGTATTTATCCCAGTTACCACCGAACTCCAAGACACATGCACGAAGCATATCTTCTACGGTTTGGATTGTTCTCTCTGTCTGACCATCTGTCTGGGGATGATAAGCTGTGCTGAGAGCAACTCGAGATCCCATTTCACGTTGCATACTTGCCCAAAAGTGAGAAGTGAAGCGAGTATCACGATCGGAAATGATCTTTAATGGCACACCGTGTCTTGCAACAATTTCATCCAAGTATACTTGTGCGTATTTCTCCATTGGATCCGTTTCACGCATGGCAAGAAAATGAGCGCTTTTAGTCAGGCGATCGACAATTACCCAAATGCTATCATGTTGTCTAGCAGTCTTTGGCAATTTGGTAATAAAATCCATGGACAGTTCTTCCCATTTCCATACAGGAACACTAAGACTTTCTGGGGTTCCATAAGGCTTTTGGTGCTCTGCTTTGACTTGTAAGCATACTAAGCATTCCTGTACATATCTTCCAATGTCTCTCTTTAATCCAGGCCACCAATAATCAGCTCTTACATCATAGTACATTTTACTTGTACCAGGATGTATTGAAAGTTTAGATTTATGGGCTTCATCTAAAATCTTCTGTCTTAATCCACCAATCTTTGGAATCCATAGCCGATTCTTGAATACTTTTAATCCTCGCGGATCATCAAGTAAAGCATCATTATAATGTATCATCCCTTCTTTCTTCACATTTTCTGGCTTTAGGGCCTCTTCTTGCCATTTCTTTAGTTCATCTAGAATAGTGAATTTTACTGTGGTATGAGTAATAGCATAACACATACTATTACGATAAATTTTTCTGCTAAGTGCATCGGCAACTACATTGGCTTTTCCAGGATGATATAGGATTTCACAGTCATAATCTTTGATCAGCTCCATGGCTCGTTGTTGTCTCATATTCAAAGTTTGCTGACTGAATATGTACTTGAGACTTTTGTGGTCAGTAAATAATTGGCATTTTGTACCAAAAAGATAATGCCTCCAAAGTTTTAGGGCAAATACCACTGCAGCGAGTTCGAGATCATGAGTGGGATAATTCTTTTCATAATCTTTCAGTTGTCTTGAGGCATAGGCTATCACTTTGCCATGTTGCATCAACACACAACCGAGTCCCAATCTTGAAGCATCGCTGTATACGGAGAAATCATCATCACCTTCTGGGAGTGATAAGATTGGAGCATGAGTCAAAAGATCTTTTAGAGTTGAGAAAGCTTTTTCTTGGGCTTCACCCCATTCAAACTTTACTTCCTTCCTTGTAAGACTCGTGAGCGGTATGGCTATACGAGAAAAGTCTTTAATGAATCTCCGGTAATATCCCGCGAGACCCAAGAAACTACGAATTTCGGAAGCATTACGGGGCACTTCCCAATTTTGAATGGCTTCGATTTTGATAGGATCTACAGATACACCATCACTAGAAATAACATGGCCAAGAAATTGAACTTGGCGAAGCCAGAATTCACATTTCGAGAATTTAGCATATAGTTTCTCCTTTCGAAGAAGTTCTAACACCGCACGAATATGAATGGCATGATCAGATTCAGACTTGGAATAGATTAGAATATCGTCAATGAATACGATGACTGATTTATCGAGCATTGGGCGACATACCCGATTCATCATATCCATGAATACAGCAGGAGCATTTGTTAAACCAAACGGCATAACAAGGAATTCATAATGCCCATATCGAGTACGAAAAGCAGTCTTCGGCACATCCTGCTCGTGAACTTTCAACTGATGATATCCAGATCTCAAATCAATCTTCGAGAAATAGCTAACACCCTGAAGTTGATCAAATAAATCATCAATGCGAGGTAGTGGGTACTTGTTTTTGATAGTCACCTTATTCAGCTCACGATAATCAATGCACATCCGCATCGATCCGTCCTTCTTCTTGACAAACAATACAGGAGCACCCCAGGGAGAAGTACTCGGTCGGATAAAGCCTTTGTCAAGTAATTCCTGCAGTTGGATCATCATTTCTTTCATCTCTGTTGGCGCGAGACGATAAGGAGTCTTTGCAATCGGAGCAGCACCAGGCACAAGGTCAATTCGGAATTCTACTTGCCTATCCGGAGGAAGGCCAGGCAAGTCATCAGGGAAAACATCAGGATATTCGTTAACAACATGAACATCATTTACCGTTTTCTTCTCCTCTTTTGAGACATCAACTGAGTAGGCCAATAGAT